ATATATATATACATACATGCACATGCAAATCTATACCTAAATCTAAATCTATCTATCTATATATATATATATGATACGTGTACATGTAGACACATATATATATATTTATTTATTTATCTATTTATTTATTTATATCTATATATATATATATACACATACAGTTTTATTCATCGTTATATACTTATACACAGTATGATGATCCTGATACCGGGGCGATTCGGGAAGTCCGAGCTCACTGCACGTCCGCAAGGTACTGACGCCGATGTGCCATCCCAAATGTACAGGTCGAGGGCTTCTAAAGGGCTTACGAGTTTTAGGGTTGTTTTTAAATTCAATGGCCCCCCTTTTCCGTGCAGCGAGCCCACCTCGCTGCAGTTTAGGGTTTAGGGCTTAGGGTCTAGTGTCGAGCATGGTTGTTCTTGGACTACCGAAGGGTACAACTCAGCTTGTGTTATTGATGATACCCATGCGACCCTGGGTTTAATCTGATCATAGACCTCATTCGAGTCGTGCCACAACAACAACAACAACGAACCCTGAGGCCAGCACCCCACTCTGGGCCTGCCTGCAAGCTCATTGCATCCAGGACTTCGGGTTCGCGAGTAGGATTGAAGGTTTTGGGTGAACTGCTCCAGATTTGGATGCTGGGTTCTACTGTTTCGGGCGTAGGCTTTCGGGTTTAGGGTTTAGGGTTTGGGATTTCGGGTTTAGGCTTTGGGGTTTAGGGTTTGGGATTTGGGGTTTAGGGCTTGGGATTTAGGGTTTAGGGTTTGGGATTTGGGATTTGGGGTTTAGGGTTTGGGATTTAGGGTTTAGGGTTTGGGGTTTAGGGTTTGGGATTTATAGGGTTTAGGGCAGTTTGATTTCACCATCTGATGTAGTTTGTCTTACAGACATTCGGTATGTACTTTATGCTCGAGGGTCCTGTGCTGCAACTGCTTCATGGGCAGGCGGAAGACTACACCTACTGTAGCAAGCCGGCTGACTGGACCGCTACCGATTGCACACGGCTTCTCAATCAACCAGCCGCAATTCCTATCTTTGAGGGCTCTGGAGTTGATATTGGGCTCTGTTCTATATCAGGCCCCCCTTCAGTCTACTCATCTGCGCAGTCGTTTGTTGTGCCTACCCGTTCTTGAGGGCTACAACATCACATGAAACACCGAGGGGCCTCCAAATTCTCTCAGCCTCAAGCCTTTGCGACCCCACTACAGACTGAATGCTTGTACCGTTTGGACCGTATGGGTTTGCAGGATTTTGTCGTGGGTTTTGGGGGCGCGTGATGCTTTCTTACAGATTCTAGACGCACGTTTCAAGCTTAACCAATTCCCCTGCAAACCGCATGTGATTTCAGTATCATCCACTCTGGGCTGTATTATGGCAAGACAAAGATCTCTGTTCGCTGGACTGGAAACCCTCGGAGACAGCCCTGCAGCCCGAAATGATTCTACCTGGTCGTGTCTAGCCGACTCGGCTTCCTAAGCCCACTGCCACATGTATGATAATGTGTAGACCATGACCTTGGGGACCCTATACCTTTTACACTATGAATCCCTATATAGTACATGAACCCTAAACCCTTTTAGAGTTCATGTCGTCCTGAAGGAATTGAGTGGTGTGTGCACGGCGTTACGTGGGTGTTGATCGGGCCAAACAGCCCTTGTTGTTAATAAGCTGGATGAGTGCTGTACGTGCTTCTGCCTAGAACGGTGGCAACGCATGTCGTATGCAGTAAGAACAATGACCATTCTGCGGAGTGTAGCAAGCACAGCGCATATAATCACTAAAAAGCTCTACCACGAATCATTCAGGCCTCTATGCTACAACCCAAACCCTTCACAGTAAGCCCGGCTCTATATGAGCTCACACAAACCTTGTAAAAGGCCTTAATTATAAAGAGCTCATTAAATCTAGGTTACAGGGCCAGACCCTTAACCCAAACCTCAACCCGACACCCCAGACTCTACCCTCCAAAAAGAGCTCTCAAAGGAACCCCTTTTAGATTTCTTAAACCCCTAGAAACCCCCAGTCTTTCAGCCCTACTCGCCTGATCCCTAGACCCTTAATTATCGAACCCGACTCCTCTTATCCCAAAGCCCTAACTAAACCTCCGCCTTTCAGGATCCCTGAAAGGGCCCCTGAAAGGAACCCCAGGAAGGAACTGTTAAAGGATTCCCTAATTGCCCCCCACAGGACGAACAACACGGGCGGCGGCTACTGCGGAGGCACCATTGCTGGAATATCCAGCTTCTGAGCTGCAAATATCTCGGGGCTTTTAAGGGTTACTGTACTTTTAAGGGCTCCTTTGAGGGGTTCCTGTAGGGGTTCCTTTCAGGGTTCCTTTAAGGGGTAGCTTGGTCATTAGGATTTCAGGTTCAGGGTTGAGCGCTGTAGGACTGCACGTTCTAGGCGTTTGGCTTGAGGGTTTAGGCTTAGCTCTAGCAGCCTTGAGTTCGAGCGTTGCAGGGTTTTAGGGCTTCGGGAAACTATACGCTTTAGAAATTCGGGCATCGCGTGAGGGCTTTATAGGCAGGGGTCTTATGAAGGTTTCGCAGGGTTTTCTTAGGGGGTCTGTGAGGGTTATCCAAGGGCCATAGGTGGTTGGCAGGTGGGCTCTATAGGCATGTGGCTTCAGGGTTTAACAGATTGTCGTGCAGAAGGGATTTGATTCCTTTGACAATATAGTCTCTTTAAGCCAAAAGTATTGTTTAGAATATCTTTGAAGAAGGAGTCTAGAACCTATCGGTTTGCCTGACTGGATTTCTGGTTGATTGTTAAGTTCATGGTTCAGAAGTTCAAGATTTGAGTACGGGGGCGCGTCCTTTTGACTGGCTTGGAGGGTCTTGATATGGGACTTTCCGAAAATTGGGGGTACCTTCTTTTGGGGTCCTTTATACGAAGGATCCTACTATCTAGGGTACTGTATTAGCGTCCCCTAATTTCGGAAGCCCCCATATGGGCCTCCTATAGTTTTGCAGCCCTGAACCCTAAACATGGTGGTGGGGTCGAAGGTTTGGGGTTTGGGGCGGAAGGCTTGGGGATTTGCGGGCTTTAGGGAGCCTGAGTTTAGGGTTTAGGGTTCAGTTAGGGTTTAGGGTTTCCAGGGGGGGCTGGGTTTCGACCCTTTACCCTGAACCTTAAGCTTCAAATAGAGCTTTGCGGCTGGGCTCAGGGGAGCCGGGGATGCTTTTGTCTTTTGAGACTCCTACGGGTCCACGTTTGGGATTCCCTTTAAAGGTTCCCGTCAAGGTTTAGATAACAAGGTTTGTAAAGAGTCTCATGGCTTTGTATCCGAGCTTGTAGAGGGTTTCAGAAGGTTCCTTCAAGGTTCCTGCACTTGCACTAGTATGTACATTGGCCCGATAGGCTTAGACGCAGTCCCTGCCAGTAATTTTGGGACCAGCGTATATACCAAATAGGCACATGGACCCATAGGGGGAAGTACTGTTGTGATTCTCCTCCACCTTTAAGCTTCTCCTCGCAGTTGGGTTTTTGGGGCTTCAGGGGTTACAGGGTTTAGAGTTAAGAGCCAGGGGATACTTGATAGGACTTCGGCTAAACAATACACAAACCTTTGTCGGTAAATCGTACGTCTGTTTTTGGGGCTTTCATCTAGTGACTAAGCGCTTGCTAAGCTATTACTGAACTCACTCCGCCCGTATTTAGGACCTCGCTTACCTTGTTTAGGCTGTTAGGAGGGCCTTCATAGATCTGCTTTCAAGGACCCAGAGGTTCATGATCTTCTGTAAGGACCAACTGACCCCTAAGGGTACAGTAGGGGTCTCCTACGTACCTGTACGCGATGAAACCCTGCAGAATAACCCTAAACCCTAAACCCTTAAACCCTTAAACCCTAAACCCTAAACTCTCAACTCTAAATCCTCCTCGACTCCAATGAACTGCTCATGGCTCCGAAGATCCTTCAGCACGGAGCGCTGGGAACGGCTGAGGAGTTTACCAATATTCTGAAAAGGGGTGCATATAATAAGAAACCAAAAAGAAACAAGGATTTGCTGCATGGTTTTGCAATCTGACATTGACATGCTTAAGTACGAAGCTTGGCCTTCTGTTGTGACTGATCAACATTTCACGTCTTTTGAGTTCTCGCGAAACAAGTGCTGGTGTTTTCTAGCACTTCCTAGAATGAAGTCAGACACGTGAACACGGCTTGGATAAAAACATAAAGCCCAATCCCCGACAGGACTTCACAGCCCAAAGACAAATTCGACTACATCCTAGACCTGCGAAGCCCAAATCCTACAAGAAGGCAACAGCTCGACTATGTCTTTCACCCTGCATCCGCAACTCTGATGGAAGGCAAGCTCGACTACATCCAGGGCATGGGTTTCGATTGCATCTGGATCACGCCGCCCGTCGACTCCAATGGCTACATGGGATACGCTGCCAGGGCGGCAGATGGGAGCTTCTAGGGCTTTTGGCGTACAAAGTTGGGCTTAGTTAGGGCTTAGGGTCGAGGGCCGCGGGTTTTGGTTTTTGAGGTCTTGGCTTATAAGGCTTAAAGAGTTGGGCTTAGTGCTTAGGGTGTACAGCTTCGGATTGAGACTTCAGAGTTTAAAGATCTGCCACAATCTGCTTACTCAGTCCCCTTTGGATTGGTCTTTAACAATAACTTTCTATCGTAGAGCCCGATGAGGTTTCCTAACCCCGAAGCCGTCAAAGCCTAGGTCACAAGCTTGGACTGACACTCGAGCTCGACTTCAAGCCATTTCCGGAAGCCTAAACCCATGATCAAGACTTGTTGGACGCCTGCCTCACGATGCAGCAAACCCGACCCTTGCAGCCTAAACACACGCCATACTGGCCGTTCATGACTCATGTTTAAAGGTGAGTGACAAGCAGGTTTGGAATTAGGAAAGCTCATTTAAAGGGCAAACCTAAACCCGAAACGCTCTCCAGAGCCATCCTAGAACACTTGTAACGAAGCCCTTTTGGCCCTTTTGACATCTCTACAAGCCCTAATTAACGTCTTCATCCCTCAGGATGCCATCAACCTCTTCAAGATCAACCCCCACTTTGGCACCAAAGAGGACCTGAAGCAGCTCTCGAAGAGCTCCGCAGCTTCAGGTTATGGGGTTTATAGGGTTTAGAGTTTATTTTAATGTTTGATAAATAGGCTTTAAGGCGTCTTTCTATAGGCATACTAAGTAGGCTTAGTATTATTTCTCTCCAAAACGCCCAACATGGTCTCGGTTTCGGGTGTGACATTTGTAACTGGGAGTTTAGGGTCTGGGGTTCATGACCTAGCCCCAGGTGTCATTTCATTTTCGCAAGTCGTCTTGAAGTTTTAGGCGCGGCCCTCAGCCCACCCGAAGCCCTTCAGAATCAACGACTGTGCCCACGCAGCCCGCTGGAGAAGCGGTCCTGGACGAGGCGAATCGGTCCGCCCTCCACCGCTCGGGACCCCTAAACGTGTCGTGCAGGAGCTCAAACCCTGAACCCGAAAAGTGACGACGACGACGACGGGAAATGTTTCAAACAATAATGTAATATACTACAATATAGTTATCCTATAGTATATATATATGGAAAGGAAGCAACCACACTAGTTGTTGCAACAGCACTCGCGACGGAAATCACAGTCACAACAAATGCCGCACTGGTGCTTAACCTTGATAGGGGTAGGCCGGGCTAGCAATGTGAGCATCATTCGTGTGCTTTTGAGACAAAGCCAAGGCTTGCACGACAGGGGCATGTGCCTGGTCTTGGACATCGTGCTGAACCATATGCGTTCTCTGAAAGTGCCCGGGATGTTGTTCCGGAACCTAATTCTTGGCAGTAGAGAAGGTACCCTAAGATCCCAACGGGTAAACATCGAGCTTCCGAGTAGACTGGGGAACTATGCAACTTTAAGCTGGCAGAATCATAACTACGATGTACTACAGGCTCCCAAACCCCAAGAACAGAACCCTAAACCCCAGGAACCCTAAACCCTAAACAGAACCCTAAACCCCAGGAACAGAACCCCAAGCCCCAAGAACCCTAAACAGAACCCTAAACCCCAGGAACAGAACCCCAAGCCCCAAGAACAGAACCCTAAACTCCAAGAACAGAACCCTAAACCCTAAACCGAACCCAAACCTCAAAAACAGAACCCTAAACCCCTAGAACAGAACCCTAAACCCTAAACAGAACCCCAAACCACCTTAAACACAAAACCCCTGGAGCCCCCAAAAGCTTTCCAAAATATGCCAGCACTCTCCAAATACACTGCTAAAATCGTTTCAGGGTTTAGGGTCTCGGGTTTAGGATCTAGGGTTTGGGGTCTAGGGTTTAGGGTTTAGGGTTTAGGGGCCCTGACATATCACGAAAAACCCGGCTTCCATCGTTAGTGTGGTTTTTTTGATGCCCAGGTGAACGGGAAGCTGAATCTTTCGTCCATTGTGCCTTTCGACAAGCCTGAGTACTACCACCAGCGTGGCCGCCGACCGGACCAGTCCTTCGAGGAGTCTGTTCTTTTTGTAGTTCTCTTGGTTTAGGGGTTTAGGGGTTAGGGGTTTAGGGTTTAGGGTTTAGGGTTTAGAGGTTAGGTTTTGGGGTTTCGGGGGTTTGGGTTGCCTGGACCGGAAGAACCTACAAGATCAAAAGGACGCAAACAAGGAAACCAGAATGAGGAACCCCAACAGGTAGCCCTGTGGCCCTAAACCCGAGGTTCTTTAGGGTCCCGGTGCGGGTTGAAGGGTTTAGGGCTTCAGGGCTTTAGGGTTGAAGGGTTTAGGGTTTCGGGTCTGGGGGCTTAAGCTTCTAGGGTTTTGGGGTTTAGAGTTTAGGAGGCTTCAATGTCTGGGCTTTTGGGTTTCGTCGGGCATGGAGACGAGGCATAAATCGGACCCTTGCCATCATGTTGGAGCAGATTTCCCATTTCTGGTGTGAATGTTTTGATGGATCCTCCCCTGAGGCCCACCTAAACCAGTTGAAATCACCAAAGCCTCAAATTCTGAAGCATAAATAAAAGCCCAAACCATTAAAGCCTAAACCCCAAACCCTTCCCTCTGGCCGGCAGGAGTATCTCTTGAACGGCCCACCGCCGGCATTCGATGGCTCCACCGACAGCAAAAACCTGGCGACTCTGGTGAAGGAGGGGAAGGCCCGACATATGGGCTCAAACCCCAAACCCAAGCCCCTAAACCCTAAACCCCTAAACTCTCAACCCTAAACCCCTAAATCCCTAAACCCCTAAACCCTAAACCCTCAACCCTAAACCCCTAAACCACCCTAAAACCCTAAACCCTCAAACCCTACAGTAAACCCTAAACCCTAAACTGATGCGTAACATGATTTCGAGATCCAACTCCTGAATCCGGAGCCCAAAAAATCTCCCTAAGGCTCCATGTGCCAATATAGTATATACTCCGGCCTTATAAGAGTTTAGGGTTTAGGGTTTCGGGTAATATACTCCGGCCTTATACTAGGTTCCTTTGTAGGTATTTGGAGGCCTAAGTAGAAATCATGTCCCAAACCCTGAGCCCTTATAGGCCCTAGGGCTACACCTTCCCGTCCGAAAAGTTGAACCTGAGGTTCCCATTCCTATTTCCTTCGCCAAAGGGTCCTAAGTACCTACATAGTAGAATGTATGGTCTCTATGTTGAGACTTACTATGAGGCTTTGGGGAAGTATCCCCCATAACCGTGCATAGGACCCCCTGGGTTGAGAAAGCCTGAATCTTACAGCCCAACCCAACACCAGTCATAGTCGTAATGCTCCCGGTGCAGCCTCCGTCTACACTTTACCGCGGTATACCCCAACTAAACCCTCGAACCTCCCCAAACCTTGGAACCTGAAATCCTGGCTAATCCTGGAGCTGCGCAAGAAGCCACTTGTTTGTAGTTGAATCCCAAGCCCTGAGGGGGGGGCTGAATAATTTGAGTAGGGGTTCATCATCATCGATGTTGTTCGTTTTGTTGAGTGGGTGTTTTGAGGTTGTCATAAGGTGTTATACACGGATCTGAATGGTTAGAGCAGAGTTACCTGGTGTAACTATTTCAGAGGTTATAAGATTGTATCATTACCATGTATTCGCACTTGTAAATCACACCAGAAGAGGACAGATCGATTTCACTTCACATTAGAAGAGGACGGATGAGCCCAACCTGAACCATGAGGACAAACCAAAGCTGACGTGGGCTTGAACCCTACACCCTAAACTTTTCTGCGGACGGATTCCTACGAATTCTGTTACTGGTAGGAGGCTTTCTGCATCGAAGGATGCATAACACTCGAGGTGAAACCTGTCTTCCGAAACAGAGACCCGGATGCAACCCATTGTCAGCGTCACCGCCATGGTCTCACCAACACCGTCCTCATCAGCATCATCATCATCATCATCATCATCATCGCCACCAGCAACATCAGTAGCATCTTCCCTGCCATACCAGAAACCACTCAAACCCACAATCCCAAACTCCTAAACCGTGGAGTGCAACCCCCCCGAACTCACAACCCTGAACCCCTAAACCCTAAACCCTGAACCCTAAGCCCTACACTCCTTAACTCTAAGCAGGCGTCCTGTGGCCCGACAGTTCCTGAACAGACGGAGTGCGCATGTCTCCCGGGGAACACAGGCCGGCTGCCCCGGAATTCAGAGGGATTTGGGGGTCTAAGCTTGTTGTTGATGTGTTTAGTGAATTGGTTTAAATGTACAAACAACAGGAACGTATTACGGTTCGGGATGTTGGGGTATTTCGGACCGCTCCGAGCTTAGGGTTGGGCTGCAGGGGCTGGGAAGGCAAGAATTAGGTAGCTATCTAAATTAGGGTCCCTTTTAGGTCCCCAGTAATAGCACTTTCGACTCTGTCCCACGAGCTCGTTCGCAGAGGAATCGTCGCCAACATAACAAAGCTGCGGAAAGTACCGTGACCTGGAAAGACGGTTCTGTTTTTTGGGGACCCCTTAACCCTAAACCCTAAACCCCTAAACCCTAAACCCCTAAACCCTAAACCCTAAACCCTAAACCCTAAACCCTTACCTTTTAAGTCCCCTGGGCCTTTAAGCTCAAGACCCCATAGAGCCTCAACCCCAAAAGTTCTGAATACCCCAAAACGCCTCCGACATGCAAAAAGTCAAACAAACAAAAGACACTAAACCTCTTGACAGAAAAGGCCTATAAACCTGACAAAAATTCAACCAGACACACCAAAGAAAGCATTGACTCCCTTGCAATACAAACAAGGTTTCAATAAAAAGAGCACCAGCCATGGACACTAAATTTCCCCCAAAACGGACCCTAAGCCATACATACCGCTAGAAACAGCTGGCACCTTGGCCCCCGAACCCTTACAACAACAAACTCCCCCAAATCCCGAAATCCTAAACCCTCAACCCTGTCCTCTGTTACGCTACGTCTGCATTGGTTCTGGTTGATGTAGTGCGTGCCGGACATTGGCAGACGATAATCAAAGCGTAAAAAAAGACCTTAATTAAACCCTCAACCCTAAACCCCTCAACCCTCAACCCGAGACGCCCTAAACCTCTAAACCCTCAACCCCGCAAACCCTAAACCCCTAAACCTGCAACCCCCACAAACCCTAAACCCCTCAAGCTAAACCCTAAACCCTAAACCCCTTAAGCTCCCCCAAAGTCGAGGACCGAGCTGCCCTTCCTACAACCCTCAGCAACAGGCACGGGATCTTTAAGGGGGTTTTAGGGTTTAGGGTTCAGGAGGCACGGGATCTTTAAGGGGGTTTAGGGTTTAGGAGGCACGGGGTGTTTAAGGGGGTTTAGGGTCTAGGGTTCAGGAGGCACGGGATCTTTAAGGAAGCTTTCTTCAAATGGTCGGTTAATTCTCTAAATTCGGTTCCCCTTTTGGATTCTCCGAATACTACGGCATCCCTATAAAAGGGTCCCGAAAAGGTACCCTAACTTAGAGAACTACCCTAGTGTCAAGGGGTTTAGTGGTGGTTCAGGGTCTGGGGTGATGTGGAGTATACCAGGGTGCTGTCATTAAAATTTAGGGTTTAGGGTTTAGGGTATTAAACAGGGGAGAAGCGTCTTTCCGGATGCTATAGTCTGCTATAGTACCGTATGAAATGCAGAAGAACAATACGGGGTTTACGACATGCGACATTATCTCACAGAGCTTCCTTTTTCGTTTGCAATACACGTCCAGGTCACATTACTAGGACTCTGTTTGGGGAATTGATTTTGTTGTTGGTTTCACCCTGAACCCTAAAAATCCTAAGCACGAGAAGGAGTTAGGGTTAAGGGTCGAGGGCTGGTCTCAGACACACAGTGTTTCGCAGGGAGTTATTCTTGAACTGTTGAGTGTGCGTCTTGTCGTCCTCAACCTAGGTCCAAGAGTACGCGTCGTGCCGACGATGGGGTCGTAAAGTCTGAACTCGAAGCCTCAAACCTTAAGCCGTTTACGGTTGCAACAGGGCTTAGGGTTGTGAGCTGTGTGGGGCCCTGGAGTATGTATTTAAGATCAGCTGGATCTGGGGGAGCGGTTTTGCTACCTCTGGTGCAGCCGTCCCGAACCTTCAATTCTAGCGACTTCTAGATCTTAGGGTTTAAATAACGGAGCCTGACTAAGTAGTAATGCTATGAACCATTACCCTCTAGTCCCGCTTTTTCTGTGCCAGAATTATTAAGGCTACCCAAGTTGTAGGACATTTTCAGGTGGGTAGCCACCGTTATAGGAGCCTTATAGAAGGTCTATATACCTGATGGAAGCCTTATGGAAGCCCTGATATACCCTAAACTCCCCACCTGTAGTTTCCTTTAAAAAGGTAGCCGTAAGCCCAAACGCTGAAACTTCAAACCCAGAGCCAAAAGTCAAAACTGGAGGCTAAGCCCCAAGCCCCAACCCCCACACCATAGCTGTAAACTCTAGACATTTAGCCCACATCCCAAAAACCCTAAACCCTAAGCACTTAGACCTGATGAAAGGCTCTTAAGCCAGCCTTCTCCTAAACTCCTAATAAGGAGCTTGCAAACCCTAGACCCTAATCCCTTAGTCCTTAAGCCTATAAGCTTTAAGCCCTAAGCCCCATACCCTAAACCCTAAACCCTACGGTACTTATAGCTCTGCTGAATACCGAATACCTGCTTACTACAAGTCCCCTGACGCTCCAAGTAAGCCCTACTTGGAGGGTCGGGGACTTAGGAAGTAGCTATTTTTGGGGACTTATAAGTATAGTAACCCCAATTAGGACCCTTTTAAGGGTACTTTTAACTCTACATACTTGCTACAAACTAAGTCCCCTGACCCTCAAAGAAATAATATAGGGGCCTAGCCAGTCACCAACATTATTTTGGATTCCCTTATTATAGTTATAGTATAATGTACCCCAAAACCCTATTCCAATTATTAAGGCCCCTACATTAAGCCCTATAAACCCTAGACCCCTAAACCCTACACCCCTCCTAAACTCCGAAACCCCGAAACCCCGAAACCCTAAACCCCTTGGTCTAGGACATTTTCAGGTGGGTAGCTACCGTTATAGGAGCCTTATGAAGGTCTGTATACCTTCTAGAAGCCTTATAGAAGCCCTATATACCCTAAACTCCCCACCTCTAGTTTCCTTCAAAAAGTAGCCGCTATAAATCCTAAGAGCCTTATAAAACCCTATAACCCCAAACCCGAAACCCTAAACTGTAATAAAACCCTAAAACCCCGAAACCCCTTACAAGTAGCAGGTCGAGGGCTGGTTCGGCTCCCTCGGAGATCTGAATCACAGCCACCCTTTCGTCCGTGAGCAGATGCTCAGACGCCTGGCTCTTCGGTGGTCCTTTAAAGGGGGGGGCCTTTCTTACCCTTTTCTACGCTCGATGGGAGTCCTTGAAAGGTGAAAGAAAGGATTGCTTTTTTTGATTTAGGGTTTGGGGTTTAGGGTGTAGGGTTCAGGGTTTAGAGCTGCTTCCGTTAAGGGGTCCCTTAAAGGGCTAATTTTATAGGATTCCTTTTGGCGGCTCTTTTCCGGCTTCCTGTCAGGTTTCCTTTGAGTTTGTCGGAGGGTCTCCCTTTAAAGCGTTCGTTTGAGTGCACGTGGTCGGCATATGATAGTGGTAGCGGCAGCGAAGTCGTGATCAACGAAGAAGTCTTTTCCAGGTTCGAAAGGGGTTGGATGTAAACGATACGTTGCTGTGAGG